TATATAACTTGAAGAAAATTTCTAAATTTTCAATTTTAGAAGCTTAATTCTGTATAGTAAAATTAAGGCAAAAGATTTATAATTTTTTTTCTATGAATTTTTTCTATTATAATGAAATAAGGAAAAAGTTAAGATTTATATAGGATGATTTTTTTCCTGGAAGTTAATTTAAATTATTGATTGTTATTATTAAAATAACAATTACTGCTTAAATATAGTGTAAAATATATATTGTACTTATAAAAATTCTGTACTTATAGTGGAATTTGAATAAAAGATTTATAGATTTATTTTTCTATGAAAATTATATAGGATGACTTCCTTACAGGTAGGCAAACTTATTGTTAGATACTAGAATGGAATAGAATAGAATAGAATTTTATTACACTTCAGTATATTTACATAGCTAAGAAGGAGACTTGGTTTACATAAATTTATTAGACATTATTGTTATTATCAAAAATAATAATTCTTACTCAAATATAACGCGAGATATATATAATGCGACCTTATAGTTCTATATTTATAAAGAAACTCTGGAGTAATAGATTCATAGATTCTTTTTTTTATTAAAAATTGCAATTATAACGAAATCAGAAAAAAGCTAAGATGTACATAAGATGGTTTTTTTTCAAAAAGTCAATTTGACTTAGGTCTTATTGATTGCTGCTTTAAGCAATGTTAAAAATAACTATGCTTAAGTATACATACATAACATAAGATATTGTATTTATATAAAGTTTAATGCATTATTAATACTTACAGGATTTGAACCAGGTATCACTTTACCATTCAACTTATGCATAGCATCAAGCGCCATTTCATCAGTTGGAAAATGTACAAAACAATATCCTGCAGGCTCGCCAGTGTATCGATTCCGCATAACTTTTACTGTTTGTGGTTGTTCACCCATTTTATGAAATGCATTCATAATAAAGCTTTCTGTCATATATGGCTCTAACTACAATTAGATGATTATTAGTAATAACACTTATGTTTTGTGGACGGAGAAATAATTTACTTTTCAAATTATTTAAACAATTTACTCACTCCACCCATCCATAGTTGACACAATACCATTGGCCCTGACATTTTTGCTGACTTTTTACAATCTATTTTCTGAGTTATTTATCTTTTTTGATTTGACTGAATTTCGCAGAATAGGATAAAAAATTATAAGAGTTACACTGTCTTGATGCTATTTCTTGACTGTATAAGCAATTTTACACTGTTAGGTATTAGATGTATATATATATATATATATGTATATACGTACGCTGTGATAATGTACACTGTATATCTTTGTACGATATCTTATTAAATAGATCAGTACAGAATAAACAATAATTCGGTTTGTGTAAGAAAAAAATTTAATTAAAGTGTATGTTAACACATGCTAACCGCTAGTATCATACCGTTGACAACATATATTAGATATCTCTCTACTTAAATAATGCATTTACATTTCATTCTCGGTGCAGACTGCAGATAATTAGAGTGAAACAAACTATAGTCGTCTTAGGGCCAGTTTCATTAGTTAGCTTTTAATCGGCCGTTGACTGACCAATAGCATTTGCTATTTAGTAGAATCGACCAATTGTGATTAACAGTTAATCACGATTCAGCTTGATGAAACCGGCATTGATGAAACCGGCCCATAATCTCATTGGCCTAATTCCAACCAAAAGTTCGAACCAAGTCAGAATGCAAAAATCCAATTACAGTCAAAAATTCCGTTCAACTGTAACAGAAGAATACTCGACTGAAGTTGGTTGGTTCTTGCATTCTAATTCGGTTCAAATCCTCGGTGGAAACTAGACCATTGATTACATTTAGGGACTGCACACAATAAAAGGAACAAGGAATAGAGAACAGAGAATAAGAATTTTAATCTATTACCAGAAATTATGTATTGGAATACATAGTTTCTAATAGATTGAAATTCTCTACTCTCTGTTTCCTGTTCCTTTTATTATGCGGAGCTCCTTACACGGCACCCTTAATCAGATTTAATAAAATCCGTAATATAAAACTGGCCAATCACAGTCATTTCATTCTTCCGAGGAACAGCTATGATTAGCCAATTTCATAACTAGATGCTATTAAACTCGATTAAGCGTACCGCCCATGTAAGGTCCAGTTTCATAATTCACAGTTAAGTCTTAACCGAGGAGTCTCAACTTGTTTCTCATCTCTTTCCAATTCTAAAATTGAAAAGAGATAATGAATAAGTTGAACCTCGATTAAAAGTTAACCGTGAATTATAAAATTTGGTGTAAGATCGGAATCAAAGACTACGCATCGAAGAATGAGATTGAAGATTGAAAGATTGAAGTTTGATCAAAATCAGAAGGAGACAGAACAGAAAGAGCCAGAATTTCTTTGTCCTCTTTGATGAAATTTCAATCATTTTTAATCTTCTTAATCTTCAATGCATAGTCTGATTCCAACCTAAAAGTCTACAATGGTCGTATTGTAAACATCGCAAGTCATAAACTTATTGCTTCAGCCAATTCAATGCTTCAATTATAAAGTCGCATGACGTTTCCGACGCTACGATATGACCAATGTAGAACAGCTTTAACGGAGGCCAATAATGTTGCAATGAAAAATTACTAGAAACAGAGCGTTGTGAGTGGTACATGCAATTAAACTGTAAAGTCATTAGATTAACAAAGTACCGTGATAAGAAAATTCACTGAATTATCATTTGGAAC